CAACATGGGCTTTGACTCAATTAGGCGGTTACTGGCCTTTATTGCCAAGGAACATTTCTTTTGTTAATACATACATATAATAAGTAGATTATTATATAGAGAATTGAAGGTGAAAATGCCAAAAGAAATGAGAAATGAGAAATGAGAAGAAAAGAAAAAAAAAAGAATGCTGGCCATAGAAAGTTGTCACATCATCTTGTCTATACCTAACTTTATATTATTCTCTTATATTAAAAGCAAGAGTTAAGTGCCTGTGTCATCAACATGCATGCCTGGCAGATTCTTAATCAGTTCCGAAAGGGTTCGCTCATGCTGGAGGGAGCATCCCCACTTAGTAATCGGTCCGCTAGTTCACGCAAATCCGAAGAAGTTAGGGGTGGCGTTGGTCGATTCGGTCGGTTATTATTATGAAAGTACGGTTCGGTTTATCGATTTTCGGTTTTGTAATATTAATAACTAAATCAAACCAAAGTATTTACGGTTCGGTGTAATTTTTTCAAGGTTCGGTTCGGTTATTTTCGGTTTAGTTTTTTGGTTATTAACGGTTCAAGATTTTTACATCCGATGTAAACTACGGATCTTGAATCCGGCCTCTGGCTAGCAGTCCAGTTAATATAGATAGACATGTGCCATTGAAAGATTTCAAAATAAAATTTCCACTTGACAAGGCATACATTTAACAATTTGACAAATAAGGCAGCGTTTGATAGACATGTCCAGTCAATACTATGCTTATTAGTCTTCTACTGCTTTGATTTTTTTTGTTCTTACTTTTGGAATAAAACTGCGCATAACTCCAATTCACTTAATCACTTAGACCAATTAATAGGTAAAACAACAACTGCAAAAGCAAAAGCAATTTTTAACAAACAAGGCAGCGTAAGGATTTAACAATTTGAGACAAAATTTCGGTTTTTCGGTTCAATCGAAATACCAAAATCGTAAGTCGCACCAAAAAATCAAAATTGAATAATTTAAAAACTGCGCACCGACCGAATAATCGATTAAATCGAAACCGAAAAATTAAAATTCACGATTCGTTCGATTTTTTCGGTTCGGCCGATATTATGTCCACCCCTAGAAGAAGTTAACACGGACGAGCCACATGTACATGTGGAGTTATTATTGTCTCTTCAATTTTATTTCAAATGTAAATGTGTACAAACTATGGGCCCCATCAGACTTTTCACGGCACACGTACTTATCATAGAGGTGGGGCCCACCTAAAACTTTTCTCATATTACTCTTCACATTTACATCTGCAACCTGCTAGCCCAACTATAGTTTTGCTTATGTTTTTCATCCTTATTTTTTTCGTGAGTTATATCTTGATTTTAAAAAGTTTATAAAACACATAAGAAAATTAGAGAAAATAGTATACTTAGAGCTAACACGTTTAATTGTAGATTCTAATAAAACAGAAAAAGCACATAAAGAGATAATATATTATAGCTAACCAATTTTACGTAATAATATAAACAAAAAATTATTAAACTAATTTAACAAAGTTATTGTATAACAAAAAGGCAATATACTACAGCTAAGCAGATTTTTGCAGGTAATAATTTAGACAAAAAAATTTAAAATGATCTTATGAATCTAATGTAGAACAAAAATATAAAAATATTTTGTTTGATATAGAGTAAACATACCAGCAATTTAAAGATACTAAGATTGATAAAGTACAAATAACATATAATATGGTAATTGTTTTAAGAATTTAAGAACATGTTTTTTCTCTCTAAATATCTCATTTCTTAAGGTTTAAGCTTCAAGATTTACGGTTAGAATTTATGAGGATCAAAACTTTAAAAAAAAAAAAAAAAAAAAGGTAAAACAAAAGCTCATTTTTAAAAAATATTTTCCGTCTTATTTTGAAAGTTCCCTTCTTGTATCTATTTTGTTTGAAATTTAGAGGATGAAAAATACAATCATCATTTGACGCTTTTCGTTAGTTGGTTTGCTATTTATTTATAAAAGATCAATAAATTAAATCTATTTAGTCTATATATTGAAACCATCATATTTGGTGCACATCAATATATATAATGCTTAAAACTAAAAACAACTTAGAAAGATCAAAGCTTAAATCAAAATGCTTCAAAATACGTATTACTCTTAGTTAATAAGTTAATGATTTAAAAAAACTCATTAACTATATATCACCTCTTTTGAATATCATAATAAATATTCCATGGTTAAAATACCCTGACTCGATATTATATGTGCATTAGGTGTACTCTCAAAAATACTAAAAATTTTGCCAAACGACACTACACGTGTTAATTAAAAAACATTACATGTCATTAAATATGAGTAAAAATAAATTTGAATTTTAAGGTTAATATCACTTTTATTTAAAAATCAAGGGTAAAAAAAAGTAAAAATGTAAAAAGAGAGGGGACAATCATTTTTTTCTCCAATTCGAGGAGAGCCATTATTGTTAATCCTCAACAAACATTTTTGTTCATCCTCGTGAAGATATGGATTTTCAAATATCTTAAAGGAAATCAAAGAAAAATGTGTTCAAGAAGGTCTCTTGATAAAATTAGGATTTTTTATGCGAGAAGAAATCAGATGAAATCCCACACCCAAAAATTGTTCTGCAAAGTGAGTAAAGAGAAATAAGGAGGATAAAAAAGAAGCCTAATTATAAAAAATAAAATAAAAAAACTTGAAGAGAAGCAAAACGAAATAATAAAATAAATTTATCATCTGGAAGGAAAAAAAGACTGAAAAGATATTTGGAAAAAACTACACAATATAGCTACTCTAAAAAGTACTAGCCGCCAAATATATATTTTCTCTATATTGAGGTATAATATACATATTTATACATAATTAGTTATTGTTTGTGTATTTGACTAACAAATATAATTATTTTTAGACGACCGGCCAAATGTGTAACTTGCCTAAGATATTTTGACAATGATTAGAATGTGAGAAAAACTGCATTGACAAACCTTTACATTCTTTATAATTCACATAACTTCTATATTTAAAATGATACTACTGTTTATATTATGGTGATCGATGGTTGTTTGTATGTTAATTTGCTATTATAAAATGTTTGTCTAATTCGAAGCATAACAAGAAGAAAGAGAGCTGGCAAAGGCAACAGTAAGAATTACGACACTAAGGTAACCTACAGTTATATCACATTTACATAAAATTGAGTAAAAAGACACTCTAAAAGAAGTTCACCCAATTACAAGAAATGATACAATCTTCGTAGCTTGTAATAATTGAGAAAAATAGAGCCAAATACCCTGAAAATGAGAATGTATGAGAATGTGTCATTCATATTTTCAGGTCTTACAAAAAGTTTAATAACAAATTATCACAAAATTTATTTATAATGTCTAAATTAGACCAACAATTTAAAACAAATACGGATAGAAACAAATACAAACTCAAGGATTACGTGAGTACTATTTAGAAAAGTACCTAGGACTAATGTTTTAAAAGGCGTGGGCGTAAGGCGAGGCGTTTTACATATGCCTCAGCGGGGCGTAAGCCCCGAGGCGCAGGGCGTAAGCCCCATAGGTATTTAATTTTTAATATTTTATAAAATTATATAATGACAGTTAATATTTGTAAACAGGTAAAATTGCATAAAAATTGAAGAAAACTATATATATGTGTGCTCCATCCCCCAAAAAACTAATCAAAACAATCTATTATACGTTACTTACAAGCACAAGTAATTTGAGTCTAAAAGAATAAAATTTTCTATATGGAGGAACAAAAATGATGATTAACCTGCAATTTGAACTTTGAATTTGTTGCTATGAAGAAAAATGTAGTTCTCTTTGTATTTGTAAAAAAAAAATTAAATATTCGTTGCTTTTGGGAGATATTAGCAGACTAGCGGACAAGATAAAAAATTGGAAAAATCATGAATTAGGGCTTAAATCAATAAAAAAAGTCTTTACTTTTAAATTTAATACTTTTGAGTTCCTTTTTAAACCTTTTGAGTAATTATCAAACTGACTTTTGAGAATTTGGGTATTATATGAAAGACTAATTCAACAAATTTTGTTTTAATTTGAAAAAGTCTCTGGGGCTTACTCCTTACTAAAAAAACGCATCTCGAACGCCCGGGCGTACGCCCCAAATTGCGGGGCGTAAGCCTCTTGAGACTTTCGCCCCACACCATCGCCCCGGGGCGTTTTTGGTACGCCTTGCCCCGGGGCTCGCCCCAGAAACGCCTTTTAAAACAAAGTCTAGGACCACTCAATTTCTTCTTTTTTCCTTAATTAGTGTGAGATTGAATCTATCTGTTCTATTTTGCTAATTGAAATTCGAGTAATACAACGTTTAGCAAATTTCAAATATAATAAGTTTTACTTAATATGCAATATTTTTGATAGATCACACGGATGGGGCTTGTCAACTTTATATTTTACTCTTTATCTAACATTGTAGTCAATTGATTGAAGAGAAATACCATTAACTGCAGTGTTAGATAATGGTTTGTGTTCCTCAGAACTTTGGCTAGAGAGAAACACCGCAACAAAAATTACTAATGACAACTGAAGAAAAAATTTCGAGAATTCTTCAAAGCTTTTTAAATTTTTTAGAATCATTAATTAATGGGAAACTTGCAAATTTGCCGCTTTAAACTTTATGATGTAAACATAACTTGCTTCTGAAATCATATACATCCCTTGGCTTCACGTTTCCATACCCAAAAAAAGAAATTGTTGACCAAAATAATCTAAAATATTTATTTAGAATGGATAATAATTTGCCCATACATAAATGAATAATAATTTGATTCCAACCTAAATTGTTCCAATTGATACAATAATATTACTTTTTATATCTCACTTTGGTATTTGCAAAGAACAATAACAAAGAATTCGAAAATTAGTAAGCCATACTCATTTAGAAAATCATCTTAGGCAATTTCTAAAATATTTGAAATTAACCCAACTAGTATATATATATATATATATATGTTAGACCTTTGGTTGAGCATTGTCATGAAACGACGTCGTGGAACCTGCACGCTTTCTGCAATCGCGCGCGACTGCAGTGAAACAGACTGTAGCTTCCTTCTATAGTCATCACCATCAACAGAATATTTATATTTCTTTTTCCTCTGAGAGAAAATGGAAGGAGTAGGGTCTAGACTCGGTCGGGCGTCGTCGAGGTACGGTTCAGCTCCAGTATTTAGCGGCCCAGTAAGAAAATGGAAGAAGCAGTGGGTCACTTCTCAGCCCAACAGCCGCCTTCGTGGCAACGGCAATGTTATTAACAACCCCAAACTCATGCTCTGCCGTTGGACTCCGCTCTCTTCCTTTCATTCCGGCGACGAAACTCCTAAACGGAAGTTCCGTTATGCACCGGTAAGAAATAAACGATACTATTTCTTTTCTACTGTTAGGGTTTAACTATCATTTATCTCTTTTTTCAATTCAAATTTGCTCAAAAGATAATATTTGTTGGAAGATAAAACTTGTCGTTTGAGATAACTTTATCTGGCGGAGCTATTAAGAGGGAAGGGTGTTTAACTGAATCCCCTTCGATTGTGAATAGATAAAAATAACTGTTGAATCCCCTTTGTACGAGGGAAAATACCCGTATAGTGGTAAGAAGGTTCAAAAGTTATTTTACGTCACAAGTTTAAATCCTAACAGTGACATTCTAACATTTTTTCGTATCTATGGAGAGTTGTTAGTAAGCAACATTAATGTTAGTGTTTAATTTTGGTATCAATTTTTTCTTAGACTCTGCAATTGCATTTTATAACGCTGAAGTGCAATTGAGTTTTTTTTTCCTTTTAAATTAAGAAAGGGAATAAAATCGGCAAACTATTAAGATACATCAAAGCTATTTGCCCAAACAATTTAGAAATTTAGCAATAAAGACAACAGGATACAATTCCAGATTGTAGATATTAGACACAAGGGCGGAGCTAGCCTTGTGGTTGCGGTTTCAGCCGAACCCAGTAGCTTTGGTTCAAATCTTATATTTGTTTTAAGAAATCCATTGATATATACAAATTATTAATTTAGAACCCAATAACTTAAACTGATTGGAAAACCAAACTAATAAGCTCCAAATCCTGGCCCACCTCTGACTAGACAGCACTAGAAGTATTGATGTTTCCTTGCGGGCTTTCGTCTAGTGGTAAGGAGCAGAGCACATAATGTGTGGATTAGATACAAGTCACGAGTTAGGACCCTACCTCAGACAAAAACCTGGTATTAAGTGGAGAAGTATAGAGGGGGTGAGGCCATCGTCCACTGAGTTTCGTGCGACACTGGCCTCGGGGATTTCTCCATTATATCAAAAAGAACAAGTAGTATCGTTCTAGCCAATCAACAAAACAGAAGTAAACGTAACAAGACTTTTGAAGCTTGATATTGCAAAAGCAGCGTTCCAACCAAAGCACATTGACAATTTATAATGCTCATTTAGTATTTACATATTCGTTTATTTCAATGTCTACCTAGAAAAAACCCCAAATGATATCCTAATGTCACGCGTATACTTGAGTTAAGTTTTACACAACCGGGTCATTTAAAAGGTAATTACATGTAACTAGTGGCGGAGCCACATTCAACTCGCCGGCAAATTACACGGTATTGCTAGATAATGTTTTTGGTTATATGTATATTTAATATACGTTGACTCCCATTGACTTTTCGGTATATTTAATTTTTTATATTTTGACATCCCTTGGTAAAATTTTTGGCTCTGCCACTGTAGGTAACTCGAGTCTCTATATAATCACCGCTTACTTACCAATAACATGGATTAATTAAATTACACTAATGCTGTAAACATTCTATTGCAAAACATGGCTGCAAATGCAAATATAAGGTAACCATGAAGTAGGAGAAACATTCAAAACTGTCCCCTAGAAATGCAACTGTACATTAGCTGTATAAATTCATTTCATTGTGGACCCCTTCTCTTTCTTTTGTGCCGGAAAGATGGCTGTCGAGTTTAAATGTTTTGCTAGAATGTGGAGAATGATTTATGTAGAACCATATTTGTTGCTTTGGTTTTGGCGGGATTGCAGCGAGAAATCTGCTGAGATTCAGTCTTATTATAGATGGTAATTCTAACTTTAGGAATTTGCTTGGAACTAGGAAAGAGAAGGGAATGGAAGGAAAAAATTACAAACACTTTCCGTACTTTTTAACAATATAAAGAGAAAGGAAGCAGAGAGTAACAATTTTTGGATCCGCTAGTTTTCTCCCTATTGTCTTCTATTTTCCGTCTTTGTATTTGTCCCTTCTTTTCTCTTCCATTCCATTGTTACTGAAGATAGGGCTAAGCTTCATCAAGTTAGAACTTTGAACTGAAATTGGAATGCCACCAATATAAAGAATAGAATTAGAATGTTAGGCCTGGCATTTTGTAGCATTCTTTTACAATGTGCAAGATTCTCATAATATTAGACTTGTTCCTTTTTTTTCGGTTAAACTTTTCTCCTATGACGTCTCAAATATGCAGATTGTTGACTTAGAAGAAAAGAAAAAGGAAGCTCTTGATAATGAAGCTAAAATAAGGAAGCGAAATCAAGCTATCACAAGTTCAGCATCAAACGATAACATCTTGAAGAAACAGAGCATCAATCATATCTTTGAGGAAGATTTTGAGGTGATACTTTGAGCTTTGTTACCTTTTAGAAAAGCAGTTGCATTTCTGTTGTCATTATTGTTTGTTATTTTGCTTTTTCTTCTCTATACTTTTTCTTTGCTCTCCTTTACTCAATTATATCCTTGTCCTTGATCAAACATGGATAAGCATTGATTTACTTGAATGTAAGAAATATAACTACCAGAGATGCAGTGATAAGAAATATACTTTGCATGTGACAAATCACACTTAAGATCTGATGTAACTAAAGATCTATGTAGGACATGGCTAAATTTGCTCTGACGGCATTCTCTCATTTTATCTTCTGTGTTACTTACACTTTCTGTTGAATGTAATCATTTCTAATTATATGTCCAATTGTATAAGTGCACCGTCATGTTAACATCTGTTCCATTTACGCAATATTCATTTTGTGGATATGTTGGACTGCAACATCAGTTCTAACGTAATATTGTTGGTCGTATAACCATCCTATAGATTTTACCTTTCACATTTTTATGTATCTTTCTACTCATAGCATTCCGGTGGGCACATTTTTATGTATCTTTCTACCGCATAGCATCCTGTGGGCTGTGGCACTTCTCTTTTCAGTCATTCTGTTTTCATTCTATGTGGCATGTCTTCGTCTAACTTCTCATTTTTCATTCCATGTGTTATATCATCATTTAACTTATCATTCTCTCAAAATATTGAATAGAGACAGCACAAGAGCAATCCACAGACAATAAATGTAAACTGTAAATCTTACTATTCTTGCCTATTGTAGCACCAAGTTTCTTGAGAAATGGAAAGATGAAGTTCTAGAGTCAATCGAAAATGAGAGACTAGACTTTCTAGATCAATTTTATCTATGGGAAAAGAAATTTCCAAATTCTTTCAACTTTTAGTTTTACACGGTTAGACTAATATATAGGTGTGAGCCCCTTCTAACGAGCAACTTTAGTTTGGACTCTATCCTAGATGAGAAATACCTTAAAATTTTCAGAATACAAGTTTTCCTTTTTTCCTTGTAAAAAACATTTAGAATACCAATGGCCCCAATTCACTCCTGCATGCATGTAACTCGTGCTATATATCCCCAAAGCTTCTTGATCTCCTTCCTTGCTTGATATGAATTCTAAGCATTCATTGTGTAGCGACGTACAAATCAATGTTGATCCTGTATCATAGCACCATCTAATTCTAGGACTAGCGTTATACAGAAATTCCTTTGTTAAATATTCGACTCCCTCTCTTTTATGGATTTAGTATCAGTTTTGCTGCCTACTTTGAAGTTGATAGTCGTTGGTTTTACATTAAAGTGAAGGTTCCCCTTCTGTGCACTTCAGGAGCTGATGACAGATCAATCCATTTGCAGCGAAAGCCAGCTAAACTTTGACTTGTGCTTCGAAGGCTGTGATTGAGAAGAATAGTTGCTGCGTATTTTGATGGTTGACGGCTCCACTTGTTGTTACAGTGCCTAACTTAGATTCTAGTGGTATTTAGGTCTAAACCATTGTACATATAACCCTCTGGTTTCCATGCTTAACTTAGACTATAGTTGTATTTGAGTAGAAGCGATTGTAAATATAACCCTCTTAGTTTCTTTTGAGGACTTTCTTTTGATACTGTTTAACTTAGATTCTGGTTGTAAAATCAATTTGAAGTGATTGTAAATACAATCTCTAGCTTCTTTCGAGGACTTGCTTGCTTGCATTACAGTAGGTGTATTTCCCTCTTACTCTCTTTTGATACGTGCCTCCCTGGGACTAAGGAGAGCGCATCACACTCATATTCACACTTAATTAAATAATTTAACATTAAAAATTAAGAAGTTAAAGTGTGAGTGCAATCACTTAACCATGGTTAAATGAGATACATGTTTTTTTTTTTAAATAAATGCTTTATTAATTTGGTGCAAACACTAAATACAGTTAAGTTTTTATTGAGGGGAGTCCTGGGAATCCGTTTAGATAGTGATCTTAAGTCCTTTTTACCGCAGACTACGAGTGATATGCTGCTAATATTTCAAGGAAGCGTAAGCACGCATTTTCAACAAAATTCTGAAATAATGTATGGCAGAGTTTGGTAAACCATCGCACATTTGAGAATGTGCTAATTTCAATTCACAATTTAGAGAATGGAAGATGAGTACCTTTTACTAGAATTTTGACTCCAAAGGACAAGTCCAGTGAAAATAGACATTAATTACTCTACTCGGTTTAATGCTCAAATTGTAATTTCCTGGAAAAAGATATGCTCACTCCTCGTATGGGGTTCCCACAGTATAATACCACTCTAGTTTTGGACAGCGCAATAGGGCCGTCATTATTAACCAAAGAATAACGTCATCATTTCGACCACTCTGATAACATGACACTAGAATAAACTTAGCAAAAACAAATATAGAAAATAATAAAAGAAACTACTTATAACTTAAGATCTGTGTGACCCACACAGCTTCCACTGGAGGATCTAGAACTCGATTCCTTTTCAATCTTGAGGGCAAAAATTGTTCTCCCGATTTCACCTTGTTACAGATTTTCCAGCTCCAAAACCTTGGCTTGTGACCCACCTGTTTAAGCTTCAGTGTTTTGATCCGCCTGTGTACTCTCCACTGCTACTGTCACACCAACTTCAGCTGGCCGAATGATTCGTTCATGCAAGGTGTACCCCGACTGCAACAAAAAGTACAACCACCTCTGTTACACATTCAATTTCCAGTGAAAGGGATGTCTAAAGAACGTCCAAGATTTGCAATAATCAACAATGATTAAGTGAATGAAGATTGATATAGCAAATAAGTTACAAGACTGCTGCACTGAGAAGAAGTTCCAAACATGATACCTTAAGACAGACTGCTACCACGCCGGGAGCCTTCTTAGGATCAGGTACTTGGAATATTGCATTATGCTTATTTGGATCAAATTGTTCATTTGTAGGATCATACTTTCCGACACCAAATTTTTTGAATACCTGAAAAGTAACAAAGTGCTGTAAGCCAAACGACGCAACTGAGAAAATGGAGAAGGTCCTCACAATAACAAAGGTCTTTCAAGAAATTGAAGAAGCAACAATAATATAGAGCACCAAGAAATAGGAAGGATTTATAATTTAAACCCCCCCCCCCAAAAAACCAACGTAATTCAGTACACAACAAAAACACCGCTGAAGTTGTTGAACCTTACATTGCAATTAGAACAATAGTACGCACTCTCTACTGGGATTTTTACAATATCCAAAAATGTCTTGGAGCTTCTCTTCCAGCTGCAGGTGCATGTATAGTAAACCCTCTGCTTCTTCATTTTAGAAGCTGGTTGGGGCATTTAGCAGAAGTGAATGAGAAGCAATGGATTCTTTTGCCAATTATACGGCTTTGAAGGGTATTTTACGAAACTAGCTTGTTGAAATTTCTAATTATAATGCTCTCCAGAATTCACCTTGAAAGACCTAACGTTGCTTATACTGTAAATTACTATGTTTTTACAAAAGAGGAAAAAAGTTGTAAGTGCTCATAGACACAGGGTGGGCCCACGTTGTGCTAAGAGGGTTAAAGTCAAAAAATAATACTGTGTATATGTGTAGATTACAACTAAAGCAGGGTAAATATAGTATAGAAATTATAATTGAATTCACTTGACAAAAGCTTTGCTCCTGCAAAAGTGCTCAAGCGGGTTCATAGTATTGGTGAGGTCGTTCGAATCCTTTTCATCTTTTTTGCCTACTTTATTTTATTGTTTGTATAGATAGCAACAAGAATCAGAAAGAAAAAAAAAAGGCAAAAAGATAGCAGCAAGAATGTGCAGTGGTAGCTAGGGCTGTGCATAATTTGGTAAATACCAAATTACCGTACCGAAACCGAAAATTTTGGTATTTGATATTCGATATTTTAGTATTGGTATGGTATTTGGTTTAAATGTTTTTAAAAAAATTGGTATTAGGTATGGTATTCGGTATTTAAAAATAAACTACCGAAATACCGATACCATACCGAAATATATACTAAGTTACACAATACGCATATTATTGGTTATAACATAAATATTAAAGTTCTAAATTTTCATTTCAGCTATTTTTATACTTTTTTTTAACCTTTACCACCTTTTTTCCCACTATACTTGTCTTTTCCCTTTTCTTTGGTTGCCTACTTACGTTTCAACCTTTCTCCCATCTAGGTTTATCATTTTGGTTTCCACCCTTTTTTCACTATATTATTTTCGCATTTGTAAGTACATTACTTAAGAATATTACAACCTATGGCTTTATGCACTAGTTAATATTCGAGCCGAACAAATCGAATTTACCAGACCGAATAAATCGAAACCGAAGGGAGAAAAGCCGAACCATACCGAATTTAATTAAGTGTGGTATTGGTATAGCATTTTAAGAAACCGAATACCGAAAATACCGAACCGAAATATCTAAATACCGTACCGACCGACGAACACCCCTAGTGGTATCCTAGTATAACTGTGTTTGCAATCAAATCAAATTATTTGCCTTGTATATATTGGTTGTTTTCTTTATTTTACTTTATAGTTTGTTTCATTACTTAAATTCAATAGAAATTATACTGAAGTTTATTTTACTTCAAAAGGTAATTTTAGTTCTCTCTTTCATAAAATTTGCTAAGACTCGCAAGTATATTTGTCGAAATTATTTATCAATTGCTAGTTTAATTTAATTTAATTTATGTTAAAAAGAATTGTTGTTTTATATTTAATTTTTTTGTTTAGTGTATAAGCTCTCTTTCTTTAATTATTGGTGCTAACTTAGTTTAGTTTGTAACTCTTTTTTTATTGTCTTCTTTTGCAAATAATAACTTGTTACTTAAATACTAAAAAGATTTAATAATCGATCAAATTTCTTAGAGTTAATCAATTTTAAATTGGTCAAATTTTTTTTTTGTTAAAGTTTAATAAATTAGCTAAAGTTAGATTTTTTAAATTAAAATAAGCAAAAATTTTGTTTAAAACATAGAGCACCAACATTAAGAGGACTTATGAGATCACGCTGTGAACAATAAAGACAAAAAAACTTGTTTCTCGTGCCTGATGCCACTTATATTAGTTATGGACTTCTCCGATTGAACCTGCTTGCACAAAATCCTGAGTCCACCACTAATAGACACACCGTACCAAGCAGTAAAACAGGGAAATAAACCTTGGACTGTATTTGGCTGAAAAGGTGTACCTCGGCAAGCTGTTTATCAGTCATTTCAACACCTTCCAGAAGTGTTTTCAGAAGTGGCACAGCTCCTGCAGTATCCTTAGATTCATCAATTTTGGAGAAGCTCTCTTTTACAACAGAAGAAGCCCGGCCCAAATTATCAGAAACGTCTAGAAGCGCTTTCACGAAATTCTGCAAGAGCATTTATGTAAAAGATGAGAGCAAAATACAAGTACATATAATACACCAAGAAGTAAATGCATGACTCCCTGGCAAAGGATGTGCCTAGAAAAACTAACTTGAATGGCAAACTTCTTGGAGTTTTCTGCTTCCCGTTTAGTTCTGTTCATGACATTCTCCATCTCTGCATAAGTGCGAAGAACTTTGTCCTGCATTTTCTGAAACTCACCATCTTTCATCTTTAGGAGTTCTTCCTTCTCAGCCACAAGTTTCACCAAGTCATCCCTAGAAAGGTCCTCTGTATCTAAATCAGAATCAGAAAACACAGTTTGTTTAGTACGTCTTCTCCTTCGTTTGACATTTTCATTCATGTTATCATTGGATGCCATATCAGAACCTGATTCATCCTTCTCATCTTGAACGTGAGAATCAGCAGAAACTGAAGCTTCACAATCTCCATTCTCTTTTGTGCTTCCTGGTTCACTTTGGGACTGAGATGACTCTTTTTCATTAGGTTGGGGAGATGCAGATGATGAAATTCCAAAACGTTGCAAGGCAGATTCATGGAATAGAGATACCTGATCAGAATACCACCATTAGCAGAACCAACAATATTTATGTGAACGTAGAAATTAAACAATTGTCTTTGGACAAGTAGGGAGTAACGTATACATAATTCCTCAAGGCATCAAGTTAGCGGACGTCGAGTTTACAGCTTGAGCAAGTTAAAAGATCTATAATGTTATCAAGATAATGTACATTATTTTGATTACAGCAAAAGAACAAGTTAGCCGGGCAACTATTTTTCACTTTATGTTTGCCCGGATATCCTTTCGAAAACAGAGCCTTCCTCCTATTTTAAGATGAAAATCGAGGGTCATGTGCTCATTTTTCTCCCCAATAGCTTTCCTGATAAAGAGAGGGGAATAGTTGACTGAAGATGATGCTTTTATGAATTATTTGTTGTCCTGAGAGAATTCAGAAAAATAAAGAAAACAAGTAAGATAGTTTAACTATTCACCATCTCAGCTACTTGGTCTGATTTTAGGAGCAAAAGAGGAAAGGAGAGATATTTCAACTTAGTAAAACCCCTTTCCTCTTATCTCTTAAACTGGAGACAGTTCATCGAAAAGGAGTCTGTAAGATCTTTATGGCACTTATAAGATATATATTTTTGCACATATTACTTTTGCCACTAATCCCAAATTGAGGAGGTGAATGTCACCTTCTGTTCCTACTAAATTACATCCATTCCATCCTCTTTGAATCCTTCAACACAAAGACATCGTCGCTTCTCTTCTCCAACACCACACTTGGCTGCTTATGTGTAAAATAATGCACCCAGTGAAAATTTTACCGATTTAAAAAGTCGTTACTGAACCGCAATTTCTTTTCCCCCTAACTGGAATATATTATACGCTATACTGATGAACTATCGTTTATAAGGACATTTTACAGCTAAAGGTTAACATGTTACATCTCCTTTCTTAGAAGTCAAAATCATTTTGAACTTCTTTTCTCCAGATAGTAAACAATATATGAGGTTTCTAATACTTCCAATGATTCAATTAGAGTTCAATCCCAAACTTAACAAAATAAAATAAAAATTCCCATCTACCTAAGCACTGGTTGGCAGCGTTACTCCATATAGTTTTACTGGTGGGAGGATGCAGGAACTTAGTGGAATAGCCAAGGTGCACACAAATTGAATGTAGCAAATATACACAACCATTTTAAACAAAAAAAAAAGGAAATATCAGACTTGCAACTAAAAAAATTATTTAACATAAGTTGCCAACTTCATCACAGAAAAACAGCAGCTAAAGTAAGACCTACCCCCTCCTTTCCAATTTATGTGGCAAAGTTTGAAAAAGCACAGAGAGTTATTTGTGTGGTTATAAGACTTTGAAACTTATGATCTTGTGGCTATAAAAGCTTATCATTAAGGGTAAAATGAGATGTTTAAGTTTAATTTTTCCAAATTAAAAAAGCTTCATTCTTTTTACAATGGACTAAAAAATAAATGTAACCACATAAACTGGAACAGAGGGAGTATATCATATCCTCGCCTACTATCCAAAAAGAAGCCTATGATACAACTAAATTACGATTGCCCCTTAAACCCCAGCAAAACCCTACACAAACAATCCATGGAAAATAATATTTTTTTAAAATAATTGGCACAAAAATCAAACCTTTTCTTTAAAATCACGAAGTGAGTGGAACTGAAATGCAAGAACGGGAACGTGCTGTTGCCGTTGCTGTTCTCGAGAATAAAGGAGCACCGAGCTGCGGCACTGATTTAATATGGCTCTCCGGAACCGAGATGAAATTCTACTCACCAACATCTCCAAATTCGGTTTTTCGCTTTAGATTTCAAGGCGGGGGGGGGGGGGGGGGGAAGTTGAAATGAGAGCTATGAATTGTAATGGCGGTAGGACAAAAGAGGAAGGGGTTTTAGGAAGAGAGAGAAAATGAGAGAGGTGGCCGTGTGGCGTGCAGAGAAAGAAAATTGCGAATTATCGAAACAACCCCTGTCTTGTTCAACGCGTCATAATACTATTCGGTCTGGAATATTGCGAACATTTTGGTCAATTTGAGAATACTTTGCTCGTTTTGCCGTTGAGTTGTTTTGTAAGTTATGGAAAACCAACTAAACCGGCTAAATGGGGCCGGGCCAGTCCACTAACGACCCGATTCAATCCGGTATTGTCCGGGTCAACTTGGTTCCGGTAAGAGGTTGGATGGAATGGGTTGTATATGGGGGTTGGTCCGAACGGGGGTGGATTTTTTTCTGTTATCGGTGCACCGGAGCCCAGTTGGCCCGGTAAGGAGTTACTGGTTTCTTACCGAGGTCCAGCCCAATAACGATAATTTTTTTAAAAAACGATTTACCATTGCCAACGGTTACAATTTGGGAAGACTGTTGGCCAATGGCTCTTTTTGGCAAAATGATCATTTCGGCCTACACCATTAGAAAAATAGCCCCTCATCTATAAATTATAAATTTAATCTTTTAAAAATTATTAACCTCCCTCTTCTTCATTTTTTCTCACATCTTGCTCTCTCATCTACTCTAATTCTCTCTCAATTCTCTCTTGACTATTGAATTGCTCTCAGTTAATTGTGATTCCTAGTTTTATCAATTTTATTTACGGTAGCCACTACGAAATTACAATTATCAAGTAAAGTGAGTGAGTTTTCAAATTTTAAATTTAGCGCGGCATCTGGTATACTCGTTCTATCTTTTTCTCTTCTTTGGTATTTATTTTTATTTTATTATTTAGAATTATTAATTTAATTTGCATAATGAATATATTTAGAGCAGTCAAAAAAGCGTGTACTGGTAGAGGTGATACTAGTAAGAGTAAAAAAAATAAGTGGTGGTTTTTTTACTAGCTTTACACGTGTTTCTGAAAGTTTACCTGAAAATATAAATGTAGACTATGAGCAACTACAAAACGATTGTGGTATATATAATAATTTAAATAATATTGAGTCACCTGATAATTTTGAAACACCACCACCTACACTGGATACTGCTAGTCAAACTACTAGAAACACATGAGAATTGGTACAAATCTTAATGATCACAAGGATACAACTACATTGGTCTATGTTAATTGACTAAGTGTAAATAGCAAGTATATAAAGAAAAAGGGGGAGGGGGTCCTAAGTTTTTTAGCTTAAAGGATCACCCCATGCAACATAAATAATACTTTGCAACTCCCTTAAGGTAGGGGTTTCCCATATTATTCAGCGGGCACAGACTATCATCTCCTGCTACCCAATTACTATGTTGAAGTTGTTACCTAAAGGCGCTCTAATTTAATTCTAAATCGTATCCTATGTGCGCACTACCTGTCCCGTACCTACGATCCAGGAGGCGTTGGACCTATTATTTGCTAGACAAAACAGTTACACGGATCAGAGGGCTCGTGATGTAGCCTTTATGGTGGGAGAGAGGGTTTTGTTGCAGGTTTAACCCATGAAGGGTGTGATGAGGTTCAGAAAGAAGGGAAAGTTGAGCCCTAGGTATATTCATCCTTTTGAGATCTTTGAGAGAATTGGTTAGGTGGCCTACAAGCTTGCATTACCACCCAACTTATCGGCAGTATACCCGGTGTTCCATGTTTCCATGCTCCGAAAGTATTATGGGGATAGATCCCATGTATTAGACTTCAACTAAATCTAATTGGACAAGAATTTGACTTATCTTGAGGAGCTGATGGCTATCTTGAATAGACAGATCCGGAAGTTAAGATCAAAGAATATTGCTTCAGTGAAGGTTAAATAGATGGGTCATTCGGTTGAAGAGGTGACCTGCGAGACCGAGCATGACATGTAGAATTATTATCCTCACCTTTTCGTCACTTTAGGTATGTCTCTATGCACGTTTAAGGATGAACATCTGTTTCAAGAGGGGGGAAAATATAACGATCCGATCGGTCGCTTTCTGTATTTGAGCCCCGTTTCTCCTTTTGATGCTTCACACATGTATAGTTGTGGCTTTATGACTTAAGGGGTTGGTTAGTTTCATTCCAGGAAGGTTTTGGGCTGATTTGGCCCTTTGGTTCTTGGCTTATAAGCCTAAGTTAGAAATATTGACCAAAGTTTGACTTACATGAAAATGACCCCGGAACGGTGTTTTGATGGATCTGATATGTTTGTATTGTTATTTTGGACTTGGGCATATGTCTGGAGTCAAATTCGGAGGTCCCTAGGTTGATTTGACTTGTTTTACCGAAAGTTGGCAATTTGAGGTTTAGAAGATATCGTTGGTTGACTTTTGTCTATCAGGTTCAGAATTTGGTTTTGGGACTTGAAATATGTCTGTTGCTATTTGGAGCTTTTCTGCAAAATTTGGTGTCATTTGGAGTTGATTTGATAGGATTCGGATGCTTGGTTGCAATTCTAGAGGTTCTTGAACCTTTCTTTGAAAATTCATGCGTTTTGATGTTCGATTTATAGTTCAAGATGTTATTTTTGTGTTTTGATCATGCGAGCGAGTTCGTATGATATTTCTAGACTTGTGTGGATGTTTGGTTTGGAGCCCCGAGGGCTCGAGTGAGTTTTGGACATGTTTCGTAAATGTTTGGACTCAAATACAGGTTGTTGGTGTACTGGTATTCCGGTTATTGCAATTGCGGTTCGCATTTGCGAAAATTAGGCTTAGGTGGGTTAGTTCGCATTTGCGATAAATAGTTCGCATTTTCGAGGAGAGCAGACTTTGCATTTGCGAAGTTTGTGTCGCAATTGTGACATCTCAAAGGCTTGTCAGTAGCCACAATTGCAAGAATGTCTTCTCAATTGCGAGATTGCGAACCCAGTGTCGCAATTATGACATCTGCAACTAAACAAAAGGTTGAAAAGTCGGGATTTCATCTCAGTTTCTCTCATTTGAGAACCCTAGACTCGGCAAGAGGCAATTTGGAGAGGAGATTGTCATGTCCCGTTTTCTCGCGAAAGCGGGTTTCGACATGCAAAAACGTATTATTACTTTTAAATATGATAAAGATTAAAGTCATATTGTTGTATTTATTAGTAATATTATTCATGAAGTTGTTGTATTTTATAATCTTAAAAAAATTGTATATATATTTTGATAATACTTCTAACAATAATATTGCTATTTCACTATTAAAACTGCAGTTATGCCTACCATTTCTTGAAATATTTCATGTTAGTTGTGCATGTCATATTTATAATTTAATTGTTAAGAGTGGCCTTGAATTATTTAGAATTGAGGTTACATTAGTTATAAGAGTTGTTGGTGTAATTCAAGAAAATAATAGGAGTGCTAGATTAAACATATTTAAGGATAAGTGTGAACAATATAGATTAAGACCAAGACATATGCCTGAAGAAATAGTTACTAGGTGGAATTATACTTATTTATTCCTAAGATGTTGTTATAAATATAGAATGCCTATAACTGAAGTTGCTATTCTCAGTATACCGATCCTAACCGCTTATTAACAGTTAATACTTGGGATGCCATTGAAGATGTTATAAAATTTTTAATCGCTACACTTGGGTTTTCTGAAACTTATTATCCTACTATTGTACTAGTTGAGATTTCGTACTAGTTGTGTTAAGTTGTTATGTTAGTGAGATTATAGAAGAAATGGATTGTGCGCCGCAATAGTATTGAAATAAATTGATATTGAGATCGGGTTGCACGCGCACAACGGTTATTGTGTTAAATGTTGGTATCGGGTTGCACGTTGCAATAATTATTTTATTAAATATTGGGATCGGGTTGCACATCGCAATAACTATTGTGTTAAGTGTTGGGATCGGGTTGCACGCCGCAACAAAGTTGATGTGACTGTAGTAGTTTGCGATTGTAGGGTTATTCTCGGTATTATGATAAGAGGTTTGAGATCATGTTATTCTGGGGAGTGTATTGCTTTATTTTTATTTATGTATCTTTTTATTATTATTTGCACAAGTTTATTGTGAGTGTCTTGCCATAACCTCGTCACTACTCCGTCGAGGTTAGGCTCGGCACTTACAGAGTACATGAGATCGGTTGTACTCATGCTTACACTTCTGAACTTCTTGTGCAGATCTCAGTATTGGTCCCAGCGGCGCGTAGAGGAGTTTTACCCAGATCGACTTGTTGAGGAGACTTAAGGTAGAGCTACTGGCATTCGCAGTACTTGAAGTCCCCTTCTATTCTGTCTTTACTGTTTAATTTTATTTCAAACAGTTGTATTCGTTCAGACTTTATTTGTAGTACTCTAGTTGCTCATGTATTCGTGACTCCAGATTTTATGGATATGTTTAGACCGCATTACGTTCGTACTTATCTCATCTATTTCAGATTATTGTAGTTTCGTATTATTAATATTCTGATTTTAAATTACTAAAAATGGTTAAGTAATTTGCTAATGTTGGCTTGTTTAGTAAGTGGATGTTAGGCGCCATCACGACCCCATGGTTGGAATTTCCGGTCGCAACACATTAGTATTGATTTGAACTTTGTTTGAGTTACTATATTTATGAGCTATAAAATTTATTTACTATTCAAGAATGTTAAGTCGAAAATTGAAATAATATGTTAAAAGATAAAACTGTGAAAAAATTTAAGAAATATTTATAAATTATATTTCAATAAATATTTATATGTATAAAATATTTTTAAAATTTGTATAAATGTATTATCGGGTTAGTTTGGTTTCGGATTTACTTTTTTTTAGTTAAAATCAATCCAAACCAACTATGGTCGGATTTTTTTCCCAATACCAAATCACAATCGAATTTTTTTTTTTGGTTTGACTTAGATTATCGGTTTGGGGCGCTTTATCGATTTTATTTGTACACCCTTAGTCAAATCTATGAAAAGACAATATTCTATATGATTAATAGTATACAAGTACACTTTTTCTAAATAATATTTTTCGTTTTCTTATTGTTTTGTACAATAAAAAAAATTAAAATTATTTCTCCACTTAAAATAGAAAACAACAGAAAATAGACTAAGAATCCTCTTTGGAAGTGTTGGAACCTTGAGGAACTTGAACATTTTTCATAATTTCAACTAATTGGTTGATTT